AATAATTTGCTGGCCCAGCAAATTTTCTGCTGGTCTAGCAAAATCTTTTTATTATATGGACAGCAAAAAGTACTAATCACTATTTGCTGGATATAATTTGCTAAATCTACAAATTATTTTGCCATAAGAACCATGATGGATTTATATAAGTAGTTACAGTTTTGCTCCGATAGCAAATAAATTTGCTAAGGATACATTATTTTGCATTAATAGGAAATTAACGTGATTCTTAGGGCAAATACACTCAACAAATTTTTTCTATCCTGCACAAAATGCAGGAAAAACAATTCTGTTGGTGCAACCGAATTTTTGGTTGCTCAGGGATCAGACGAAAACTCGGCTGTAGGAACAGAAAAATTCCTTTATGAAGCTTCTGTATAGTCAATTGTTCTCAGTTGCCTCAACCGACTTCTAATATCGTTGAATGTTCAGACGAATATTTTCGGTTGCGACAACAGAAATATTAGTTTTCACAACAGAGATATCGCTTCTGATTACCTAATTTTTAGTTGATTCCTACTTGTTTACACCAACTGAAATTTTTTTTTGCGTGTGGCAACGAAACTGCTTCTGCTCTGAAAACGAATAATTTGTACGAATAATTAGTTACGTCAACTCAATTTTTTTGATGTTCAGTTTTTTTGATTGTCAATAACAACGACGATTTTGCTGAAAGAGCAAAATTATTTTTCTCCGTATGAGTGCCAATAATTTCTTGGTATCCTATTTCCTTGGTATCCAGGATAGAAATACTCGGATTATATTGATAGTTCGCAATTGCACGCGCGCGCGCATGTATGGGTGTGCGAGCGTGTACGCGCATTTACGGGAGCGATTACAGCGCGGGTTGCGCGCCGCGTAATTGCCGGTCGCTAATTTCGCGCGCGATGTAAACACGAAGTATGTTGCACGCGGTCACATCGAGGCTGAGCCGCGTATAAATAAACGGTTTGCATAACGTTTTGTTTATTGCTTCTGCGCCCGAAGCGCGCCCGCTGTGGATCGTTGATCGCCCGAGGTCGACGGTATCGATATATCGGGGATTATTTTGCGCATGGGATCTCACGCGAATCCACGAGTTTGTGGAGGTAACAAGGCGAAAACGCAAGCGGCGCACGGAGAGGATTTTACAATGAACACTACCATAGAATTTTGTAGTCCAGAAATAGATCGACATTCTGCGATAATTTATTATCTTTTCATTTCACTCTTGCTATTTATAGATTTCAGGAACTAAAATGTGCTATTAAAAAGTTCGTTATATTTGCTATGTTTGCCATGTATTACATAGTGAAACTTTTTTATTATGCACTTTTTTTCCTTAACAAGATAAACTTTTCTGACAGTCTATTTCTGCACTACTGGGATAGTAAAACTGAAAAGAATTTATGTGAAAAAAACTATAATATTCTCTTTCTCTTTCCTCTTTCTTTCTTCTCCGTGTGTAGGAATTAAAATAATAATGCGAATCGATTGTATTTGGAGAATTACGGAGGCTCTTGATATACTACAAATATAATCTTATCAACGGAAGACACTTTATGGTCTCAAGAGGATTCTTTATCTCCCGAAACCGAAGAAAAGATTCTAAGCACGATATTATTAAAATTAGAGGAATTTCGTCTTCAATCGGTAATACAAGTCTTATTCTTAATAAAAATTGTTTTTAGTAAGAGAGCATTCTGCTTCAAGTAAATATATTCCTCTCAATACAAAAGAGGCAAGATGTTAGAATAATACTAGTAGATTTCCGATTAATAATTCATTTTATTACAAGAGGAATGATCTCTCGGTAAGTTTCTGGTTTGAATATTACAGCACCTTGTAAATAGAGTTTTTTTTAGTCATTGAAATATTTTCCTTTTGATTTTAGATGATTTCTCATGAGGCTGTGTATATTTTCCGCTAAGAATAAGATTATATTTTTTTGAGTGTATTCTATAAATTTATTGGAATGTAATCTCCTTGAAAACGAGTAAAAATATTACTCAATAGTAAATATTTTCATTCGGATTTATAAGAGTAAATGTTTGTTTCAAATTTGGGACAAATTTTTTAATACATAGTAGTGAACATTTCAATCGATTAGAGTAAATTTGTTCCAGAAACGGGGAGTACATAGAAATCATTCTTAAATTTTGAGTGAAGATATTTACTTGACGATTTTTAGAGTAGGATAATTCTCGCTCTATACGAGCGAAAAATTATTCGAATGACTTAGCTGTCACTCTGCTTTATGAAAGAAATTGCATTTGAAGGAATTTAGAGAATAAAGCAACAGATAAATATACAGAGAGAACGATTTGGTTGAATCAAATAAACGTTTCTTTGGAATAGTCCTAACGAATTTTTTAATTGATCGAACAAAATTTTGTTTGAAGCGACAAAAATATTTATTTGCGACTTAGTTCCAAAGAACTATTTTTGTTGTGTCAATCAAATAATTTGTTTGGACTATTTCAAAGAAACATTTATTTGATTCAGTAAATCGTTCTCTCTGTGTAGTGACTCTACTAATCTACTGGATAGTGAAACTAGATAGTAAGATCTAGATACTAATCTACTGGATAGTGAAACTAGATACTAACAGTCACTTGAAACTTGTCTCATCTGAGATACTCAGCTCTGAACTTAGAATTAGACCAAATTTTTTCAATTAAATTATATTATATTATATTGGTGATATTATATTTGTAACCGTAATTCCACTGAAAAGTTTACATCTAACTCATCGGATCTGAGTGTTTTATTTCAGACAAATTTCAAATAATTAACGACTATTAATACGAGCCTAAGATTATTATATTGAAATTCTCGGTTGCGATTGATCGATTTGCTTTTACGGCTTACATTATTTTAATTGTGTACTGCGGTCTCTAATAGACTTTAAGCGAAGTCCATTAGGAAAGTACTTGCAGCAGTGTTGCACAAGCGTCTTGCAAGGAGCTCGTTTGAATCTCGGATTTTCCAAACGCGGAGTCATTATTTACGTTCAACGTTGATGTCTACTTTTAAGTATGACTAAGCACCGGTATTGCGAATATTTCCGGCACGGTGAGTATCCACATAGAGAAGGATGCGGTATTTACGTAGCGGCTCGTGCAGCAGCCTGGATAGACTCGACGTGGTTTATGTCCGCCACAACGGACATTTCGTAATCATGGCAGGCAATTTGACGGAAAACTAACCGGTGCCTCGTCAGAGAGACTAATCCGTCGAAAACGTGGCCGGGGAAAAGTTAACAATAAAAGTTTTCCGTGCAGCGATCATCTCGTTCGCGAAACTTATAATTTTTTAACACGAAACTATTCTATAGTATATGCAGCTAATTAAATTCTTTAATGTTTAAGAGAGAGAGAGAGAGAGAGAGA